ACGGGATTTACCCGTTCTTTTTCTTGTGCAACCATCCCACGAGCAAACTCAGTCTCATCAGCAAAGTTAGGAGACATAATCTGGTATATGCATCTATTTTGTATTAGCTCATCGGTATCAGATTATCAGCAACAAGGAAACGAAGAATTTTAGTCTTTAAGACTGTCAATCACCTGATTGTACAGTGATCGGTCGGTGAGTAGAAGCAGCATACCTGTTAAGTCCGACTGCGGTATCTTATTTGCAGATACTTGCGAGTTGTTTGGTTCTGGGCCTGAACAGGAAAGTGCTCTTGCCCTAGTTTGACTGAGCTACCTATTGGTTCTGCCTGTGTACCTTCCCACTAAGTCTTGGATTTTCACTCAGACTACTTGAATTAGTGTCCGACTGACGCGAACATGGTAGTCATTCTAATAAAGGTATTGTTTATTGCACTGGGAAGTTCGCGTCGAGTTTGTAAAACCTCGTGGACACTGTAGCAATGCTAGAGAAAGCCTATTGTGTCTGAAATCCAATTTGTCCAAATTTGGACTTGCAGGCCATTTTGAAGACTTTTTGCCGTGCGGTTTAAACTGCAACTGAGCTGAATCGGACATGCAAATCATAACAGTATAATGGTATTTGCCTCATTTTAACTACTCATGAAAATGACAGTAGCGATGCAAACCCGACTGCTTTCTAGATAGTGCGGGAGGCACAATTGGATTCCATCATATAAAAGCCAGTTAAACATGCAAACCAACTGAACTGAGCAGTCCTCAGGTCTACACAAATTTTAATGATGCAATCGATTTTACACGGAGGTGGTTTTCAGCGTCGGTGGTAGTTCAGGCAATTTTACAGCGTGACAGCCTGTTCGTTACTATGCATGTTTCTGTGACGCTATCAAGCTTGGTCAGACCGGTTCGAAAGTGAGATTGACAATCCAGTGTTCTTATCTTTCAACGACCGTCCAAAACACGCATGTTCTAAATCTCCCACAGAGTGACGATTACGTAAATGCAACTCAATAGTGAAAAAGAGGAATACACAGAATGTTCAATTAGGACGTTTGGCGTCATTTTCCGAACGGGAACCTTAGGTCTGCACTTCGATGACTGCTTAATGAGCGCGTACAACATAGTTGGCCACTCGTCCAACCGTAAGCTTGCTTCGTGCAACATTGCGTGTCCCCTCTGTGTGTGGCGAACGATTAGGATAGGCACTTTATGAGCGCAAAATAAGGCGAACGATGTTGCACTTGCTGTGTGTTTTTATTGGTTCCACGCGTAGTCAGAAAAGCCTGAGGGCCTGAGAACCTAACAACGCTTAACGGAAGGTAACTCGACATGATTAAAAATAATCTGTCTCGTTTATGGCCTCATCCGCTCCATCCAACCAATAAGTTTTGCGTCACACCCTTGATATCGTCCAGTCTCATCTAAAGAATTATCCTTTACATCTAAAAGCTGGTCGTTGGGTACTCAACTCCTGCCTGTTCAAATAAGATGTGAACGAATCTCTGGGTATGGACTATTAACCGGACTCCCACGTTGTTCTGCTCACGCCAATTAGGGTGCACATACGTTCCGCTGGTTACCTGGTCTCAATCGACCGTTCGAACCCCACCGATTGGTGCAAAAACAGACCCAGCAGAATTACTTGGCGAATGGGATTATGATCATAGGTCACACCAAACTGACGCGAACTCATTGTTTACTAATTCGCTCAGCCGTATCACGTTTATAAATTCGATCAAGCCACAGTGGCAAATTGATCCAGGCCTTTGTTTTGCACAAAAGAACCTCGATGTAACACCCGGGATAGTTCAGTTGTGAGGCGCAATGCTACTGTGCGGGAGAACCATGGTTCATGGTTTTCGATCACCCTCGTTTATGCAACCTGGAAATATCTGTCCCTCTGTGCATCCCTCGAGCTGCACTGTAACTAAGCAAGGAAATAGTGTACAAGATGAACGAGGGAGCATTGTGTAACCACGTGATTAAACCCCGTTCTGCAGAGACTATAAACAATTTGTTTCCTTGGCGAAAGACACTCATTTGCGAACTAATTTGGTTTTGCGAGAGACTCGTCTTCTACTCCCAAACCCGAGAGAAACGCATGGTGGGCTTTCGTAACAACCAATAGTAGGCAAGTAACCATTGCGCAACGATAAGTGGACTCTGGCGTGACTGATCGCACAGTGTTCGGCGCAGCCAGTAAGTGGACTTTTTTTTGTTCGATCGGGATTTCCTCACTTTCTTGGCTAAATATTACCGTGCGCAAAGTGAGATTTCTTGTTGTTCGAACATTAGGGTGGCCCACTAAACCGAGACAAATAAGTCCTGGTTCGGTGATACTGGCTCAATATCCCAAAGGAACTAATTGCGTGTGTGGAATGCGTGTGTGACAGATTTGATCAGTAAAGCGTCAAACAACAGTGTGGGCCGATTGGTCTGACTGACTGGATGCTTACATGACAGGTTGGTGACTGTTTGGCACCCATCATCTGCTAACGGCGAGTTGTGCATCATTTCAACTGGCTGAACATCACTGGTCGTTTGAGAATCCTACGGATTGTGGAAAATCACAGTCATTTTAAAATCATCTGATACATGTATATTCGTAATGGACTACTGCAAATGCAACTGAAAAAAAACAGTCCAATTCGGGTTCAAGTATAACATAAGGTTGACGGAAACCCAGGGACTGCGCCTACCTGATGAGTCCCAAAAAGGGTGAAACCGGTCGTGGGCTGTCAACGGATTTTCACCAAACCTATGAGTAGTACATCACAACTATTTACATGTATCGCGATATCTTGAATATCGTAGCGACTAAAACATGAGGCGGCCTGGTACAGCACATTCAGTTGCCTGAGAACATCACAAACGAGGGGTTCAACTGGCTTCCAGGTGAGTCCCTCTCAAAACCAGGGTGTGTATTTCTCTGCACTAGTGTTCAGACAAATATCGCACGCTTCCTCATCCTCTATTGATTTGACGCATGTTCATTTACGTATTCTGTGACGGATTCAATTTGCTTCCATGTGTAGCACAGACTTTCTAATTCACAGCAGGCCATCTTTGATGTGACTTGTGTCCAGCAGTGAAATTTAAGACCCATCACTCTGTTCCTAACAAGAGCTTGTCTCGCTCCAAGCTAAACAGGCATACATATGTCACACGAGCGTTTTATGGTCACACGGCTGCACGCCAACTAACTACTTGAGCATGCTACGGACTAAAATGTACGTCAACTGATCATACCTGCTGAATCTGTTACGGTCCAGCCTCGTCATACTTTCACTGACCGCTTCGGACGAGCAGCAGAGGTGGTCCAATATACCGAGTTCTACTGACTAGCGACGCATTTCCTCAGTCTTTCGCCAAACATTCTTCAGCCAGGAACCAAGGCAAATACCTTGTTCAGCAGTGACAAGGGGAATATGTTAATTTGAAAAGAAATTTTTCGACATTTCTGATTGTCAACACGTGAGTAACACTGGCGTTTCTGGTTCTAAGCTTAACAATACTGGTCCATTCCTTCAGCCATCCAAGGAGATTCTGCCTTACGTGCTCTAGGACTTTTCGAGACCCCGAGAAAACCGCATCCTTTTCGGTTTACACAACCATTCTGATTATTCTGTGGTTGGTAGGCGTTTGCCTCGTTGACTTACCTGTTTACTCGATCCGTAGAGCATGAGGGTGATGGAAACCAAAGAAATTGTGCCTACCTATTATTTTCAAGAAAGGTGAAACCGGTAGTGGGCTGTCGAATAATTTCCAGAAACATTACAAATAGTGTGTTATGTAGAAACATCTATAGATGATAAACACCAAAATGATGTCTTTCTTCATGAAGAACCACTTGGATTGCATGGTGATTTTTCTAGTTCGTTTTTTTAAAAAAGTTTTGTAGATAACATTTTGTCTTAAGCCGTGAAAATATGTAGTTTTTCATTTGACTCATGGTCCACGATGAGTTGAACTTGGTACCACTGAGATTTAAACGCATGAAGTCATCAAATCAGATTCCGTACCCCAGGACGAAACATAGTGTAGTCAGCGATTCTCTAAGCTTACCAAAGAGATCCCAATGCGTTTGTTGTTTTTCAGCATAGAAAAACACAAAGGTATTTCACGTAGGATCCTTGTTTGGTGGTAAATTCCACAGAAAGGTAGACGGTGGTAGCACCCGCACCCCAAGGAAACAGCTGAGGCCACTGCAACTCGCCTGCACGACCATTTCACTTATGTGCGACTAGAAGCGGTTCGTCCAGGCGATCTGGACGATGCCAAGATGACTGTTCACCAGCCGGATTGACAGTATGCCGACAAACCAGCTTCCGTTCGATGAACACCGGTGCTTCCCTGTTAACTAAGTCGAGGTCTTCGGTGATGTCCCCGACAACCGGCTCATAGAGCGTTTTGTTAGGTTCGCTACACTCCTCTGACGACCAGTCGCTCGTGACTGGACGGTTCATTGTTCAAACTAGCAGCTGGGTTTCGTGAGATGCCCATTGCTGACGATTCCCGGTGAGGATGAGAAATCTGTACCGCGTTTATCAGCTACTCAGTATAGATCCGTTTTACTTACAGGACGAAATCTCAACTGAAGTTGAGGAAGAGTCAGTCCTCGCATTTGGACGGTGCGAACGGGTAAATCCCGTCCATGCGAGCAACTATTTCAGTAGTACACTTGGATTTTAACATACGGTGGATAAGCGTAGTGTATGTCGGCCTAACAGGGCTTCTGTCTGACTGACTGATTCATACCCACTTGCCGACTAAAACCGCCAAATCATGACTCTACAGCCTGTCCGGAAAGTACGTGAGAACAATCAGCCAATGAGATGTCAGAGATATCAATCATCCAATAAGATGTCAATAGACATGTTCATGCCAAGCGATTGGAGCCAGTTAGACATGTGACTGACATGCTGCTGGCATACTACAGCCTCGAAAGCGATTGGAAGGCTGAGCGCAACCGGACAGCAAATGTCCTCATTTGATCTCTCTCTCTGCCTTTTACCAGCGTGCTAGTTTGTGAAACAGCAGACTATCCGCCTCATTATACTAAGCCTAACAGACTAGGGATTGACATCCTACAGAACGAACTGAAAAGGCTTTTGGCCTTGTGGGCGCATGATATACTGTTTCCGTCCAGCAATGAAATCTACAGACAAAAAGATGATATTGGCACGGTGCTTTCACTTAGCCCATCGTTGGATCATATCTTCAGAGGTAAAATTAAGAGACATCAAACGAATTCTATTTCGGGAGGTTTACAGGCGCAGGGTTGAAAACACAATCGTCTTCGCCCCGAGATTAATTCGACTCCAGTGATGAGGTGCTGATAGAATCGAACTAAGCTCGGTCGAATGTCACGTTCCCTCAAGAGTTCAAATGACTAGAAGGAACGAGTGTGTGCTTCAGAGGAGAGCACGGAGGCAAAACACCGGGAATATACGATGTGTTCGTTTACTCCAACCAAAAGTGGAATATCTTACGGTGTCCTATATCCGACAACGCAAGCAGAATTATCTCGAACAACGCGTTGAAAGCTGAGCGGAAATAACTATTCATCCAGAGCAAATGCCCATCTGTTTTATGTAAAAAAAGAACACAGTCGATAAAACTCGCACTCGAACTGTTATCAGTTGAGAGATTGTTCTGTGGCCAAAATGATATCACGGAGTCTCCGGACCGGTATTGAAACGGTTCATGCAGTGGCTACTGAGTATTAAACCATAAGACACTTCACCACGGTCTTTGCTGATACCTCGGTAGTATGGCATGAGGACCGTCTGATGTGACCCGTGAACACCGAGATATTTGGAGGCCAAATACCAATTCGGTTGCCATGCTTTTGATGGATTCTAATTATGATGTCATTCCCATCGAGGCTCTTTCCGTGGAATGCAAAGCCTCGGCAAAGCACGTGAAGTTTACGCTAACTCGACTGTGCCAACCTGACTTGTGCCCCTGAAAACATTCCTACGTACACTCGGACCTAGTTGGCTAGCAACAACTTCAAACTGGGATGGACCTTGATTAACAACTGATTGAAACTGACCTTTGTTCCTCAACCTTTCCGTAGTGACTGTTACCAAAATGACACTCAAATACCAAACTTGTTTTTTCTCCATTTTTCAACGACCTTTCCTCTTAGCTACCACCGTCATAGCTCAGTGTTTAAGACGTAAACATGCTGGCCGGTAGGTCTATGGTGCCATCCCAGCCCCGGCACCTCGACCACTTCTGTCTAGACTTGGACAACCTGGTAGTACCTCAGTCTTCGTAACCTTATCAGGTGACATATCATATATACATATGTATAGCATTGCAAACAACCTGGGGACCACTCACAGCAAAAGCAGTACTTGTTAGCTATCTCTTTAATTCATTTGCAGGCACTTGAAATAAAAACTCGTGAGGTGCGCACTCCTGATAATTCCAAACATGGATGAAACAGCTGCACACTGTTTATCGATTTTCAGCACGAAATCTCTTTTGTACACTACCAAATCTCCCCATATCGCCATTGAAAATAC